AGAGCAAATTGGTCAAACAATGGCCGTGACTCATCCACATGGTTGACACTGAAAAAGGATCTACGAACTGCAGTACAAGGTTTCAGGGTAAATCCTGAGGGGATTTGACTGACCTTATCAGATACAATAGTTACCTTTCTTGTTATAGAGGTCTTGCTTTATCTTGGTCTCAACCATCCAGCAGAAAAGTATAAAAATGAAGTATAAGAAGTAAAGCCATATTAATATGCTGAACTGTAAAAGGCTCAAGTCAACAACTTCTGACATTGTCAGTCCTATGGAAAACTCTTTCTTGTCCTTGTCAGCGTGGTCCTCTACTTGACTTGTGGAGAGGTAGCTTCCCACTTGCAGATTTGAAGATGTGGAGAAAGCCCTTACTTACCAGATGTGTACTCTCTATCTCCAGATGTGCATAGAATCACATTTATTCTCAAAACAAGGCTAATACCTTTGTCCCCACTTTACTGATACTTATGGTTAAAAAAATCAGTTCACGCAATCGTTCAATTAAGGTGGAATTCTCTGCAATTCTGACCAATGTCCCAATAAGCCTTTGAATCAGAGGCTTCAGCTTATCTCTTAACAGATACTCGGTTGCTCAATCCATGGCAGCCAGGACTCTAGACCCTATATTCCTATCATCTAAAGGTTCTTTGGTCCTCCCGGCGGTCCTCCTGGGCCCAGGTGGCGAAGCAGCCATACTCTTAGGAAAGACAACGTAACAATTGTAGGTACATGTGAACAAGGTGATTGCCTTTTTTTTTCTAACTTGTGAACATTATGAAATGAATTGTAAGCACAAAGAATAAATCATTGTGTACAAGTGACTTAAAAAAGAATAACAAAATATCACTTGTGAAACCACCAATAAGCTTAAGACATGCCAACATTGCCTGTCCATCTGAAGCTTCACTGCCTCTCTTTGAGGTAGTATCTCCATTCACCCTTTCTCCTGATTGCTTTCACTTCCCACTTGCTTTTCTTTAGAATTTCATCACATATATGTTGATGCTTAAATAGTACACTGAGTCAAACTGTTTCTGAACTTTTTGTTTTTTTGCAGTACCAGGGATTGAACTTAGGATCCTGTTCTTGCCAGGCAAGCACTTATTTTATTGAGCTGTCTCCCTGGGCCCTGTTCTGAACTTTAAATTTGCTCTCTCTACAATTTTACTTTTGTAAACTTTAAGACCATTAATTTGTGTCTACAGCCAGTAATATTTCCATTATTATTATTATTATTATTATTATTGGTGTCAGGGATCAAACTTAGGACCTTGCACTTGCCAGGTGAGAGCTTAAACCACTGAGCTGTCTCCCCAGCTCTGTCCTTTATATTATGAGTAGCCATCTCTGAGCTAGAAATAACTTTTCTATTGATTGTCTTCTCTTTTCTGATGGATCATGGCTGTGCTATACTCATCCATTGATGGTTTCTGCAGTGAACATAGCGTTAGGAGGCGGGCCTTGGTTGGAGGTAGTCACTGGGGGTGTGACCTGCAAAGGTGTACTCCGGTCCCCAGAACCCCCCTTCTCTGTTGGCTTCCTGACCACTCTGGATTGAGCACTTTCCTCTTCTGTTGTGCTGTTTCTCCCTTGGCCAACCAACCATGGAATAATCTTCTGAAAACTGTTAGCCAAATAGATGTCTTCTCCTTTAAGTTGTATGTATTGCATATTTTGTCCCAGTGATGGGAGACCCAATACATTTTTTTATGTCTGCAAAATACTGTCCTGTCCCAAGCAGCTTCCTCTACCATAGCTCAGCCATCCTGATGGGAACTCCTTGGCTTACTTGCACAACCTAAGCCTCCCCATCATCCCATTCATCAGGGCATGGTGAGAGGTGGTGTGCCTGGTATGACTGTGTGTGAAGAAGCCCCACCCACTTCTAACATGGAAAGGATGGACAGCTTATTGACCTTGGTCTATGAATGATCCAGCCATTGTCACTCCCAAGTCTCAGCTCTGCCACTGACCAGCAGTGTGACTTTAGCCAAGTTATGTACTGAGCTTGCTGAGCCTCTGTCATATTCATCAGTAGGAAAGGGACTAATATTTGCTTTGCAGGCTTCCTGACAGCACAGCACAAAGCAATGAATGAAAGACCCAAGCAAGGTAGCAGGCGAGTTGTGCATTATCCGTGTATGTTTGTTCCTTTGCTTTCTCCTTGGACAAGCATTTATAAGGAAAGGCTATTTTGCCTAGAAAATATGTATCCACCATTTCTCCTTTGGAGGAACATCTAAGATTTATCTTTGGGGAGTACTCTTCCTCTCTGTTTAGACACAGCTGCCCTTATTTAACCCAGTTTTTAAAATGTTGTAGATATTTGGGGGAACCCCAGAAAATCCTCATCTTTCTTAGCATGGGGATGAGCTTGCTCAAGGCATTGCAGTGTGTTGGGATGGCCATCCTGTGGCCTGGGACACTCGCTGGCCCCATTGGCCTTCTAGAGCCCTGTTCTTTTGTGTCCCAGGGGCTACCCACACTCAGGCTTCCTCCTGCTCACAGCAGCAGTACCTCACCGAGCACATCAGCCTTAGCTTTCTCATCTGTGAAACAGACTCTTAGCTCTAGTTTACAAGTTAAGGTTGATAAGAAGACCAAATGGAGCCCTGGAAAGGAATGCTCACTGGGGATCATGAAGGCAATACTGTGATGTACTGTGGTATTTCCTTCAAAAGAAAAGTTACGGACAAAGCACTGTAAGTTGGAGGCCACGCTGACACTTGGTGGCCATGGCTCATGCTGCATGATGCACCTCCCCTCCTCTATTCCCCCCACCCCAGCTTCTGTCCCCCTTAACACTAAAAAATATTTTTACCCTATGTTTCAACATAAAGGCTGGGAGTTTTCATTTACTACGCTTCTATGATACCAAATCCTAAGACTGCAACAGGGACATAGGGATGTCTCAAAGCATCCAATGAGGAGTATTCAGCAGAGGGAGACCAAAGTGCATGCACAAGAGCTTGGGCTGCTGGGCACATCGAGTCACTCTCGCTCGGCAGCTCGTCTCACCAGGCCCACGACAGGCCTCGGCTCCAGCTTCCAGCTTCACCCAGAGTCCAGGATCCAGGCTGTCTGCCTATGGCCGGGGCTCCCAGCCCTTCAGTTCCAAAGCCACTCTCTGGCCACCAGTCAAGTTGCAGCTGCCTTCCTGGTGTTGCTGGGTCCCCCCCAGATCCTCACCCACCCTCTACTGGCTATGGCCTCAGCATTCCCATGTCCCCCTCCCCCAGTAAAACCTCGCTGTAGAAAATTACCTTGCTGACCCTTCCGAATTCTGCCACCTCATCTTGCTTCCTATGGCTGAAAGACGTGACCATCAGTAATGTCCTGGGGTGGTCTAGGCTCCAAGGTGATTACGTGATTCTGGGTATTTTATTTTTTAAACTAAGATTTATATATGTGTGTGTGTGTGTACTGTGCATATGTTAATTTTACAAATGACAAGTTCAAAAGGAAGTTTTGTCCTTTCTTGTCTATAAAAATAAGAAAAGTTTGAGCCAGCAGTTACAGTATTAGTGCAAAAACCATAATCTGTACCTGTTTTTGAGCATGTAAATCTGAAGTGAGGTGGATGGGCAGAATGGGGCAAGGTTCTCAGCATTTGCTGTACAATTTAAAAACAATGAAGTCTTTTATAGAAAACCAGCTCCATGCCCATAATCCCAGCAACTCGGGAGGCTGAGGCAGGGGGGTCACGTTGAGTTTGAGGTCAGCCTGAGCTACATAGTGAGCCAAAGCCAGCCTAAACTACAGAGGGAGACCCTGTCTCAAAAAGAAAACTAGTTCAGTGCCTCCTCTGGTCTGTGAAATCAGTCCCTGGGAGGAGCTGGTTCTCATAGGCTGCCAGGACTGTCGGTCATAACTCTGGGCTATGTCAAGGGGCTATGATTTAATAATAGCTCCATTATGAAATAGGAACACTATTATGTAATAATATATGGTTACTATAATTTAATAATAGTTATTAGTCATATTAATAAGTATATTAATGGTTATCTTACTATTCATATTTCTATTTATATTAATTTACTTAGTATTATTTATTATTAATGTTGTTTATTATTTAATAATAGTAATTAAAATGATATATTAATTAGTTATATTAATAGGCATATTAATTTTTATATCAACATTATTTAATAATCAAGTATTTAATAGCTATTATTTGATATATTAGTAGTTATTAATAATAGCTATTATTTAATAGACTAAATGCAATATAAATATTACTAGTAAGCATATCAGTAGGTGACCATATAAGAGCTTCAATAATATATTGCCTATTAATATATTATTGGCCATAAATAACAAATCCGGGGACTGATCCCAGTGCCTGACACTCCAAGCAAGGCCTCTACCCCTGAGCTACCCTCTCGGTCCTTTACAAACTTTATTTTGAGACAGGCTCTAGCTAAATCAAACTCCTGATTTTCTTGCCTCAGCCTCCTGAGTATCTGAGATTACAGTCATGCATCCCTGCGCCCAGTTTATTTTTATATAGCTTAATTTTATTTATATATTACGTATATGTTATATATAATACATAGAATAGCATTAATATGAACACTAAAATAAATTAATGCTTAATATCAATAATGTGGGAATTATCATAGAATACATAATAACGTCTAAGCATAAATTCTTCACAACTAAATAGAATTAGTGCCTCGAGTGCTAGGCAGCCACCCAGGGCTGGAGGCGCCTGCGGGCAGCTCGAGGGCGGGCTGTGTCCCCCTCACTGAAGCCCCTGGGGCAGCTGTGCCCGCGGGCCTGTGCCGTGCGGCAGGTCCCCTTGTGCGAGGGCAGTGGGTTTCGGGCGCCTCTGAGCAGGCCCGTGTTCGTGGTGTCGGCACCAGGCGGGGTTGGGATGAGTTGGGCCCGCTGATGTCCTCCCGGAGCCGCCGCAGCTCCTGGCGGGCTCCAGGCCCGTGCGGGGCTCGGGCGTCGGGCTTGGGAGGGCGGCGCTGGAGGGAGGACAGAGGGGGCCACGGCCGGCAGAGCCTTTATTCTTACGCAGAGACCATTCTGAGCCCTCCCATTAGCCCTCCCCTGGGACACTGAGCTTCTCCTTCACCCCACAGGCCACCACGGCGAAGAAGAACTCGGGGAAGAAGGCGCGGATGTACACGGCGGCCTTGGGGATGGGGTTGGCCATGAGCACCTCCTGCTTCTTCCGCCGCACTGTGCGCATCACCTCCTCGGCCACCTCCACCGGGTGCACTCCTGGGGCCAGCTTCCTGAAAAAGACTGAGAGAGCCCAGAGGGCAGGTTGAGGGCCGGGAGCAAGCAAGCAGGTACAAGCCTCTGCTGCCCTAAGTCAGGGGACACAGGGACTGCCTCTGGCATCGCGGTGTCTGGGCCAGGCTGACATATGCCCGCCTGGATGTGACACATCGCACCTCTGGGGGCTTCTGCTTCTTGATCGATGAAGTGGGCCTTCTGGCCTTGATGGTGGGGGAGTTACGTGTAGTAGGTTAGGAAATCAGGCTCCATCCCGGGCCTCTGAGAGGCTGAGGCAGGAAGAAGGCAAGTGTGAGCCTAGCCTGGGCATCTTAGCGAATTAACTCCCTGTTAGAAAATTAAAAAATGAACAAGGGCCTGGGGATGTAGTAGCTCAGGGCAAAGGCCTTGGATTCAGTGTCCAGGACAGGGGGTGGGTTGGGGTGGGGGTGCTGGGTGAATTAAGGCTCTATCTTATAGCTGTTGAGAAGGGCACTTGTCCAGAGCCTCCTGGAGCCTCTTGCTCTGTCCCCCAGGATGATTCCTCTTGGCTCCTCCACATACACAGAGAGCCCAGAGAGTCTCTGGTTAGAGTGTAACAGAATAATAATAATAATAATAATAATAATAATGTGCATTTATACAGCACTCACTATGAGCTGGCGAGTGGGAACCTTCTGTCCGCCCAATAATCCTGAGGTAGGTATTACTGTTATTCCTCATTTTCTGAAGGGGAAACCAAGGCACAGAATGATGAAAGGACTTGCCAGTATTCAACTATCTGATCTGTGGTAGAGGCAGGGAGCCCAGGAAACAGGGAACCCGGAAGTTCCCAAAGACCAAATCCAGCCTACAGAGGAACCAGGCTCCCAGGCAGGCGGGTGGTGGGACTTGAGTGACAATGCAGGCAGGCCACGGGATTTAGCAGCAGACTGGGATCCCCTTGTGCCTAGTGCCTCAGGCCTAAAGTTGTAGGGCCACACCACCCCCAGACTCCTGCTTCAGGAGCACCCTTTGGGTCCACCCCAAGAGTTTCCCTCTGAATTCTCACATTTCCAAATGGATGTGTCCCAGTTTCCTTGCTCGGGATGAGTGTGGTAGGACCGGATGAAAGTTGGGCTCACGGTGCTGACGACCACGTCGTATTCCTCCACTTCTGCTCGCAGGCAATCAAAGAAGCCTAGGGCAGCATGTTTGGAGGCAGCGTCTAGAAGAAAAGCCAGCCAGAGATGGGCATGGCGCTGCTTCCCTGGGAAGTGCATCGGGGACAAGAAGGGCACACACACTTGGTACAAGTGTTGAGCAGGAGGGTGCCTTGAACTCCACCTCTTGTCTTATGGACAGAGGGCTTTGGAAAAGTGGAGGAAAGAGAGATTGAATCCAACTCAGTCACTGGCCCAACGTGTCACCTCAGGCAAATCACATCGCCTCTCGGACACTCAGTTTTCTTACCTTTAAAATGGGGTGATATTTCTGTTGGCAAGCTTTTGTGATATTATTACTCCTTTGTGAAGATTAAATGAAACAATAACAACAACAACCACAACAACATTTAAAATGCTCTACACAGGCAGAGGTTCCCATTCCTTTCCAAGAAGGCTAATGAATGATACCCAAGGATCTTGTGCGAGGTTGGGGGCAGCTGGTGGCTGTGAGGAGCCTGGAATGTTTTGCTTCTCCTCCCCCTTTTCCTTAGAGGAACTGTCTGTGCCAGTTAGCAGCAAATTCAGTTCAAGTCATGGACGCCAGGGGTTGGGTAAGTAGGAATCATTATAGGAATTCCAAGAAGAGCGGATTGATGACTTCCCAAAGCTTCAGAAAATTAGAGCCACATCCAGGATATGGTGGCCCTATGACACATTTCAGGGATGTCCAATGGAGAAGGAGGGATGTAGAATATGGGTGGTATATGGACTTTCCCACTGTACCCAGAAATTTCCACCAAACCCCTTTCACAGTTGTCCAGCCTGAGAAGCCAGGGTCCCCTCCATTCTATTCCCCTCCCGTCCTCTCCCTTCTCCTTCTCTCCCCTTCCCTCCTCTTCCTTCTCCTGCATTCTCCTGTCTCCGCAAATACCAGTCCAGACTTCCCAGGGAAGAGGATCTGACCCCCTCACTTCAGAGGGCTCAGGATGCGGTGCTGGGCTTGGGTTCGTCAGCCTAAAATGAGACTCAATAAGGAGACACCTCATGGAGCTGCCATGAGCATCAAAGAAGACAAGGCTGCAGCGTATCCCACAGTGCCAGGCCCCCTGGAGCCCCCCGAGAAGTGGCTGGCCTTCAGGCAACCGCTCGAGTTGGCAGCAGGTACAAAAGTAGAAGTATCTTCACTGTGGAGCAGGAGGAGTGCAGGTGGGGGGCGCTCGGGGGGGGGGAGAAGAGAAAGCCCCAGTTCTGCCCACAGGTGGCCTGTGCCACCACCTGTTGCCCTAGAAAATAGACTGTGGCCAGGCGAGAGTGTTCAGGAGACACTGAAGCTCATGATAGCTATTCACATGCTCCAATATTTTGCATAAATGACAAAAACCCTGCTATCAGGCTGGCTGAACCAAACCCCTCCCAGCTTGCCCCTTCCTGGCTTCCACCATGAATTTATGTGCATCATTTCATTTGAGTTTCTCTGCACCTGTAAGGCCTGCTGTCTTAATACAGCTGGCTTTTTTATCTGTGGGCTTCACACCCATGGATTCAACAGACTGTGAATTGAAAATACTCAGTGAAAGTTTTGCATCTGTGCTGAACATGTAGTCTCGATCATTCCAGAAACAATGGAAGTACAACAACCATTTGGGTAGCATTTATATTGTAAAAGGTTCTATGGTTTGTGTACTCAAGAGATGATTTAAACTACACAAGGGGATGTGCATAGGTCACGTGCAAATACCCTATTACTTTCTATAAGGGACTCACAGATCCGTGGATATGGGCACCCACACGGGTGCTCCACAGATGCTGAGGTGGTCGCTATATATTGAAGGAAGAGGGGTGGAGGAGCTACTGTACCCACTTTGTGAGCAGCAAAGGACAAGAAGCTGAGGGGGTCATGTGACAGCACTGCAGTAGGTTGCACAACCACACGGGGCTGAGTCTTGACCAGAACCCTGGCTGCCTGTTTCCGGGCCCTGCTAAGAATGCCCTCAGTGGTCCCCAGTGAACCCAATTCTACCTGCCCCAAGCTAGGTATGGTAGCCATCAGGGAAGTACAAATCAAAACCACCTTAAAACACTACTCCACACCATCAGGATCCCTAAAATCAAGATGGATTATAACAAGTGTTGGCAAGGAAGGGAGAGATTAAAACTCTGGTGCATTGCTGATGGGTATGGAAATTGGCACAGCTGCTTTGTAAATGGTCTGGCAGTTTCTCACACGCTTACAGTTAGAAGTGTCCTGTGACCCCACATCTCTCCTCCTAGGTATGTACTCAAGAGAAACAAAAGCACCCACCTTCACAAAAACCATACAAGACTGTTCTTAGTAGAGCTATTCATTATAGCCCTGAGTAGAGACAGCCTAAACATCCATTCACAGATGATTAGATAAATTATATGTAGTATATCTATTTGATAGAATATTATTTTCCTATTAAAGGAAAACAAAAACCCTGATATGGTATGGCATGGGTGAAAGCTATTGAACTAAGTGAAAGAATCTACAAGGGCCCAAATCCACTGTGACGTGTCCTTCTAAGAAGAAGAGACATGAATACAAAGAAAGGTCCCCCTCGTGAACACACACGGGGGTAGGCCATGTGAGGTCATGGCAGGAAGGTGCCCATTGACAAGCCAAGGAGAGAGACTGCAGAAGAAACCAGTGCTCCTTCACTATGGATTTTCAGTCTCCAGAACTACAAGAGAAACAAATTTCTGTGTAAGACATCCAGTCTGTAGTATTTTGTTTTGGCAGCTCTAGCCAAACCCATGCAAAAGAACCACCCATTTTCTTTCCTCCCATTCTCTCTCTCTCTCCTGCCCTTCCATCAATGGACATTTGATGAGCTCCTGTTTGGCACACAGTACTGTGGGCCACAAAAAAACCTAGTGGCATGTGGCCTACCCTCACGGGAGCTGGGAATGTCTGCAGAACTTTCCCAGTGGATCCCGTGAACGGATCCTTGGAAATCTTGCTTCTCCTTGGACTTAGTAGCTGCGGAGCTGTCTCGCTCTTGGGATTGTGTTCCTGTCCTCTCTCCCTTTTCCGTCCTCTAGAAGTTTTCATCGCTCTCCCTTTTTGTGATGCTCACTTAAATTCCTCTTTTCTGTTGTTATCTTTCCTGTCCTTCAGTGGTATCTCTATGGAGGAAGAAGGCACACAAGCTGGGGTGGAGCGTCTGTGTAGAAGTGTGATCTTTGGCAGTGTCATGCTCAGCCAGGATAGGTCCTGCCCACCGGTGACACTGAGCTTTGGAAAGAGAGGAACTTTATTTTTTACATCCCAACCTGTCCCACAGAGAGCTAACTGCTGCAGATGGGCCAAAAATAAGAGGAAGAAGAACCCAGGGAGGAAAAGGAAGCCCAGCAGGCACATCTCCTTTCTGGAGGAGACATTCCTCACCCTGTGCCACCCTATGCGTGGTCTTAGACATAACAGTGCTTATCTTGCTCTGTAAACCGTGCAACATGGGGGACGTCATTTGTGTCCCAGCAACTTACAAGCTGTCCGGAAAGGGAGCCCGAGCTTCCCATGGATGGTGTTCACCAGCACGATCTGGCCCGTCCTCCGGGAGATCATGTTAGGAAGCAGGCCTAGAAGACACCAGAAGTCGCCGTTAGAAGTCTGAGGTGAGCCGGGCAGCAGACAGACCCTTCTCCCACCCCATCATCACACAGGACTCCGCTGTCTCTGTGGCAGTGGCACTGCTGCTGGGCAGAGACGCAGAAAACCTTGATGGCTATCGATCAGGTGTTTCCAAACAGAGGGCTGGACCAGTTGGAGCCTTGCTGCATGATTTTAAGTGACTCACTGATGGGCATTAATTAAAGGTCATCGATGCCAATAATAGGAGATTGTCTTTTTAACACTCTTATTGTCTCAAAAAGGAAGTCTCGTGTTGGTTCTGTCTTCAATATTTATCTTGCAACTGGTAATCTCTAACAAAGAAGGAAAGAACTACGTCCTTGGAGGAGTTTACTTCATGAAGTTTCAGGTTGCCTTATAATGACTGAGAGTGATTATGGCAGTTATTTATCTTCTACTGGGCCTGGAACACAGAGCCTTGCATGTTAGGCAAGCCTGCTACCACCGAGCTGCCACCCAAGCCCCTCGTATTTTGAGACAGAGTCTCGCTAAGTTGCCCAGACTGCCTTCAAACTTGGGTTTCTCTTACTTTAGCTTCTTGAGTAGCTGGTATTACAGGCGTGCACCACTGCAGCTGGCCGCAAAAGGTTTCAAGTTGATGCTATAAAGATTTCTTTGTAATGTGTAAATACTTTTAAAAGAAGAAAGCAAGCAGAAAAATATTAAGCAAATTAGCAATCCCAGTGGAAAGAAGATAGGCCAAAAATGGAAAAAGAGGGTGCTTCACAACTTAACTTTCATCATGGCTACCTAAATCCCGTCCTTCTTGTTAGAGATGAGCAAACAGAGGACCAGAGATAGTGACGAGACTCAGGTCACTCAGCTCGTGAGAAGTTCAGCGAGCAGAAGCCAGTCCTGGCCTTCCCTTGTCCCAAGCCTTGCTTTGTTGTCATGGAGTGGTCCCTGTCAAAGGCTGAGGGAACACCACACTTGACTGGCCTTCTTGGTGTGTCCATGAGCAGGGGGCTGCACCAAGCTGTTTGCTCAGTGATCTCACTCTAGAAGCTCTGGCAAGTCATCTTTCTGCCACAAATGCTTCTTTCTCCTCATCTGTCTCAGAACCCCATTACTACTTCTGTCTCGAAGCACCTAGCGCAGGAACTAGCTGTGCCTTCTCCACCTCTACCAGCATACCCTGTTACCGATGTGGAGCTGTTCTTCATGCTTGCATTCTTCCCTAAGCTTCTGCTTGGGCACACCTGTGTTTTGGGGGAGGTGAAGCTTCATTTGATGACTGCGTCCCATGGCCATCTCTGGGCCTCGCCTCCCAGCCTGCTATCCTGAATTTGAGCTCAGTGTTGAGGTCTCCCTGTAGATGTCTTTCAGGCTCCTGCAGCAAGGTGCCAAGTGACCCAGCCCTTTCCCCTCTACAAGAAGATGGCTCTCTACCTCCCTTGACTCTGTGAAAGGGCCAAAAGAATACTGGGTATCTTGTCTTTTGGAAATAAATTCTTTTCTTCTTTATTTTTGAGGACAGAGCATTCGACCAACTGACATGGTTAGAAGTCGACCAGCTATGAAACTGAAGCAGCAAAATCTGTGTAAAAATTGAGGCCAATGGTCCAGAGATACTGAATCAGAGGGGAGTAATCGGTGTATGAAGAGAAGCAAAGGGCAGAATTGGGTGCGGAAAAGTTTCATAGTAATCTTGGAATATGCAAGCAATTTATTTCCAAAATAATTTTTCTTCACCAAATATTACAGTGAGGGCTGGGGAGATAGCTTGACAGTTCAACAGCTTGCCTGGCAAGCATGAGGACCGAGGCCTGATCCCTGGTGCCACATGCTGGTGCTGGCGCTGGAACCAAGCGTGGTGGCATATGCCTGTAATCCCAGCACTAGGGAGGCTGAGAGAGGAGGATCACTATGAGTCTGAGCTGCATAGTGAGGCCCTGTACCAAGTAAATAAATAATAAAATTTAAAAAAATTACAGTGAGAATGTTTAAAATTTTCATCAAATAAGTAAGAAATCTTCTGATAAGACAAGGAGTCCCATCCAGAATCAGATGACTGACTGGCTAGGAGACAAAGCATTCAGTGACTCAGCAGCCTATGGGAAAAGGAAACTCACGAGACCTTTGGTCAAGGTGATGGGTCCAAAGTAATTGGCATTCATGATCTTTTGGTCGAGCTCCAGAGAAATCTTATGGGCAGGCCCCTTCACCTTCATGCTGGCATTGCTGATGAGGATATCCACACAGCCGTAGCAATCCAGGACTTCTTTCGCCACATCTTGGACACAGCTGATGTCTGAGAGATCCAGTAGGACCAGCTTGGGGGTGAATGTCTGCAGAGCCAATGGGAAAGTCACGGCATGTCAGATCACTTCTCCCTGTAGGCACTGGGTAGAATCATCTGATTCTGCTGTAAAAATTGTAGTTGCATTGGCTTAAGTACTTGCTTGCTGGTGACTTCTTGGGAGGGGACTCCATTGTCCTGATTTCTTTGAAAGAGGTATTTGTTGTTGTTTGTTTTAAAATCAGGCATGTTTGCAATCACATCTCACACCTGGGACAGCCCCTATCTCTCAATTCTTTTTGGTTCTAATGTTCATAGAATTTGGACAAGAATTAGTGCTAAATTTTAGGCATGGTGAATTGTCAGAACAGCACCTTGAGACAGGCAGGCATGCTCGTTCCATTTGCTGTCCCCTCAAACTAAAAGCCACCCCTTTTTGAAATTCAAAATTCATAGAGTGACTGCAAAACAACAACAACAAAGAGGAAAAAGAGGAAGTGATTCTGGAAGAAGCTATTCTTGGGGACCAAGGAAACACTGCTTTCACACATGAATGTGCAGTAATAAATCTACACTTTTGGCCATAGTTCCAGAACTGATAAATCAGGTGAATATTGTCCCTGGTAGCACTCTCCTCTGGAGGCCTTGTACTTATACCAGTGCGAGAATCCCTACTTTTAACATTTCTGAGCAATTTCTTGAAAGTTACGTTTCAAATTGACTTAGAACCTGCAACAAAATCTATGTCTACCCTGTGTCCACATTTTGACTTGAGTCAAAATCATATATTTGACACATTATTTTTGGAGCACCTCCTATGTGCCAGGCACTGTGCTCAGTCCTATACTGGTGTCATCAAGGGGGTATTTGTCTATAGTGGGGAACAGATAAGAAAATTGGCAGTATCTGGGCTCAATGCACCTCTAGTGTTGGGCAAACACTAGTTCTGAGGTAAATCCTTGAAGATTGACTCCCTGATCAGATTTGTATGGGAAGCACCCAGTACATTCCAGCTTCTTTTCAGAGATTCATAATACATCAGCTTATCAAAACTCTGTAAAGTCCTGTGGTAAAGAAATTAGATAAGCCTGCCCTAACTCAGTATTTACCAAACAATAGACTGCAGAATCTTAGTTTTTACCCCAAACTCAATAACATCACAAGCAGTAAACATGGAGAATTCTGTCGTTCCATTTGCTGTCCCCTCAAATAGCAGATTTAGGTCTGAGTGGTTCTTGGCTATTTCCAAGTACCAAAGACAGCATCAAAGGTAAAGACATAGAAACCAAACCTGAAGGGAACACTGAGGCAGTTCCCTAAATAACACCCCTGCAATGCTGTACAAATTGTAGTTGCATTGGCTTAAGTACTTGCTTGCTGGTGACTTCTTGGGAGGGGACTCCATTGTCCTGATTTCTTTGAAAAAGGTATTTGTTGTTGTTTGTTTTAAAATCAGGCATGTTTGCAATCACATCTCACACCTGGGACAGCCCCTATCTCTCAATTCTTTTTGGTTCTAATGTTCATAGAATTTGGATGAGAATTAGTGCTAAATTTTAGTCATGGTGAATTGTCAGAACAGCACCTTGAGACAAGCAGGCACACTCGTGCCAGCAGAGCCATTGCTGGCTCATTTCTTTCCCCAGAATGATCACAGCTTTCCTCCCCCTGGCCCAAGGGGTTCTCCTTCATCAATGGAGAACAAAGACAACCAGCAGTGATCCACACTGACTGTTGGAGGCCTTACCTTGCTGGGGTCAGCCACACTGATCAAGGAGTCATAGAGACTTTCGAGCTTCTCCCAGTCCTTTCCACACAGCACCAGTCTTGCCCCACCTGTGTGGAACACCCGGGCACACTCTGTGGAGGAGAAGGAAGTAGGACAGTGTGCACTGTGTAAAGCGAGTCGCTGATGGTGACTCCTTGCTCTCTTATAAACTTCAGAAATAAAAGAACGCAAAAATCTTAGCACCACAAGGCCTTTCAGAGATTGTTTCACTTAATCCCAGTCCTAGGCTAAAATTTGTGGTTGTTGACCTTGTCAGATACAAAAGTTACATTTCTTGTTGTATAGGTCTTGCTTTATCTTGGTCTTAACCATTCAGCAGAAAAGTATAAAATGAGGTATAAAAAGTAAAGGCATATTAATATGCTGAGCTGCAAAAGGCTCAAATCAACAACTTCTGACATTGACAGTCCTACGGAAAACCCACTACTGTTATGGACTACTGGACTATATTGGAATATTTTGCTGAATTCAGCCACCTATAATATTTAAATGGCAATGGAATACCCATCTCTGACAAAACTAAGCAAAAAAGGGGATACAAATGAAGGACCATTTTGTATCTGTATATTCAAAATAAGACAGATATACAGCTACTTTCTCTTAATTCAATGAGAAAAAGATTTGTTCTAATAGTGTTTGTGGACAGGATATCATGTCTGCATCTTGTACTATGAATGACCACTAAGAAGAGAACAATATTCAATATATTAATTATTGAAGCTGTCCTACTAGTCAGTTTTGAAACTGTCTCACTGCTATTTGTTTCTCAATAAAATTATTAAAAAACCAGTAAAATTTGTGGCTGTTTTTGGCTTTATCTTGGTTGTTTCCTGTGAGGGGAAGCTTACAGTGAGGTGAAAGAGGTCCTCTTCTGTTATTTTGATGACTACAAGTTATTCCTTAGATTGAACATAAAGATGGACCTGTCCACCCAGGCCCACAGGAGACCTCAGTTCTAGAGATACTGGGAAGAGCCACACCATGTTTGTTCAGATCAAGTATCAACCATTGCGCTGCAATTTTTATGTGGATGGATACCTCAGCCAAGCCTCTTTTGTATGAAGAAAGTGAATCTTCTTTCAGATTAATTTTATTCTGGACTAGTTCCTGATTCATCCAATATAGGGTTTTTCCAACTGGGCAACAGTTGGTAACAGTATTCTGATACTTACAAGCAATAAAAGCTCACATATTTCAATAATTTACTGGTTCTAGGAACTATTGAAAGAAGTTTACATATATTAGTTTACTTAATTCTCACCATAATCTCAGGAGGTAGAGATTTAGGTGGCCAAGATTTATTGAGCGTGCTTATCAGAGAAAAACAGCCAGGAAGCAATGACCTGGAGCAAGTGCCAGGAAAGGGCATGGTCTCAAGGAAAATTGTAGCTTGGCTTGATGCAGAGAGAACCACAGAGTCTGAGCCCCTCTACATACTGTTCCATGTGGAGGCAAGAGGGCCAACATTTTGCACTCCTGTGCCAACCAGTCACCAACTCTGGGCTGGCTCCTCTGAGGTGAGGGCATAGCTGTACAACTCCTTAGCAAGGGCAACATCCACTGGAATCCCCGAGTAAAACCAGGACATAATCCTAAGCACTCTGATGTGCATGTCAGGGATGGCTTGTTCTCCACATTAGGCTGCCGCAGGGCTAATCACTATTGCCAGGAAGGGAGTAGGTGGGGGTTGTGCTGTTGCCCACCCATTCCATCCTCCCACTGTATTATGATGGGGACATATTTGCAAGCTGGGTACTAGGGGAGGGGAGGGACCTGCAGCCAAGAGCCAGACTTAACCTCTGGCTGTGGCTTCTGTTCCATCCCATTATTCTGTGTCCTCTGCTCTGTTAACACCTTGCTTTCCCACATGTGCTTGACACAGCAAGCACAAAGGAGCAGCTCTCAAATGAGCTATTCCTGCTGAAGCCAGGCCTTTGATATACTGGTTGCTCTTATTTTTATTCTTTATCAGCTCAGCTTGGCATTTACCTTGTGTCAAACACTGGGATTGATTTTTCTTTTTCAACCAATAAACAAATTGAATCTTCCTTCATTTCATCACATCTAAGACGCCATAAACTGTAAGGTACCTTTTGATTTCAAAAATAAAAAATGAGAAAGGATGCTGGTGACTCCAAGATGACCTGATTTCAGTACTGTCTGAAGTAGAGTAATTGAACATCTTAGAAGTGATAAGAAGAGAGGGCTGATGTTTGGTCAGAAATCCCTGAAGTAGTCCGCATGGACTGGTTAGACATTTCAGTTGTCACTTTTGCTGCACACACAGTGTGTACAGGTGACATATTGCCTGACTTGGCTGAGCTATGCAATCTGGGTCAAGAAGAGGTGTCCTGATATGACCTGTTGGCTCGATTGCCCCAGTACACAGTCTCCTTAATGCCACTCAGTGCCATCTGGGGATTCATTAGGTTCTGTGGCTCCAGCGTGTGAGGTGGGCTGTGTGCACACCACATTGTCTTCTCCACGCCCCTCACATTTTTCTTGCCATGGTCTTAAGAAACAGAACAACTGGAACCTGGAATTGTGGTCATCAGTAGCACTCTGAAGCCAGGCACTTATTTAAGGTCATACACACCCAGCTTCTCAAGTTACTTTTAAATACTTGGACTTTATTTCTTTCTGCTTGGCCTTTCTTTCCAGGGTGAGTCAATAAGATGCAGTAAAAAAGAATATCAACTGTAGTCATGACAGACTAGGCCACACGCCTGTGCAAATCTCATTTTGCTCCTGACATGTATTTCCTGGGAATCTGATTTACACAATGCCTGACTACAGCTGAATGAGATTTAAAAGACTTACAAAGACCATTAGGACAAACCTACAACAGAGAGAACAGCAGCTCCACCTACTAAGACAGAAAGTCATTAAGGTCATAGGAAAACTGAACAGCCTCTTTCCAGTATCAGCATGTAGCTGATATTCAGATCCTCCCCCCAGCAACAGCGAAACGTACACTGTTTCCAAGTCCTTACAGAACATTGGCCAAGACAGATCACATCCAGGCTGTAAAACAGACCTCAACCAACCCAAAAGGGTTGAAATCATACTCTGTGTGATTATACTCTGAGTAATTGGAATCAAACTGGTAAAACAAATATGCAGGCACATACTTTTCTACTGTAAATGAGCACGCTTCCTTTAGCAAGTAGTTAGATAAATAAATAAACTTTGTGTGGGTCCTGGATGCCAATGCTGGAGAGGCCAAGGTGAACAAATTGCAGGTTTCGCTGTAAGAAAGCTATGTCTGGTGGCTCGACTGAGCGACACTGATACAGTGCCATGAGGAGTGCCCAGATAATGGAGCACATCTAGAAGGAGCTGCGGAAGTAAGGGGTGGCTCCTCGTGGGCCATCCAAGAGGAAGGGGCAATTAAGCAGGCAGGAAAGGCTCCAAGGGAGAAGCTGTATGGGGTCCCTTATTATAGCCTGGTCTTGTCAAATACATTCTGATTGGAGAGCTAGATTGCTCCAAAGCTTTTGACCCTGAATGGCTCTAGGTGAGCTTATCTTCTCCAACTTTTCAGGTCAACGTTGTCCTCTTGGGTCTGGTCTGATTGACACATACGACCTGCTGTTAGAGAAGCTGGAGTCTGAGTTTGAGTATCCCTTTCTCCCTCCTGAGTACTGCTTCTAATGAGACAGGATATTCTCTTTGGGGATTGCTTCTGGGATCTGTGGAAGGGCCACATGGAACATCGTGTCTGTCTGTCTCATGCTTTGGTTTTTCAACATGTCATGGTTGGTCCAAAATCATTACCTAATCATTACCGGATAGCTCAGACCCATGTGCAGTGGTCCATCGGGCCTGCCTTCCTGACTGGGGATGAGAGGCACACAAAGGAAAATTGTTACACAGAATGGAACCTTTCGCAGAATGTGACAGAGATGTGACATGAATTGTCAGAAGGAGCACAGTTTTAGGAGTGCTTCTTACTGCTATGAGCCATAGCTGCCTCATCTGTAACATGGGCAAAACTGTCTTGTCTTCAGGATTGTTGAAAGGATTAAATCTAATTTATCCTCAGGGCAAGTGGTTTGGCTCCCACTGTGATGTCCAAGAAAATGAAAAGCAAGCTCTGAGCAAATTCTCAGAGGAGGTCACAAATATTTTCTCTATGGCCACTCTTATCCTTCCAGAGAGACACTTTGGAAGGGGCAATAGCCAGAATAGAGTGGGCTTGTAGGCACTTGTTGAGTTACTAATGAATGCTTGATTGGACGTGCCCTATACTTGATTAAAAATAGCAAAAGCAAAAATCATCCCTGCGTTATTTAATAAATAGGGTTGCATCACCATCGTTTGCAATGATAGGGTCAGAATCTTGCAATGCCAAAGGACATTTATTACTCCTCATGTCACAGATGTGACCAGGAGAATGCCCCCTGGGACTATCCAACTTATGGGTTGCCATCAAGACTTGGAGGTGAGACAACAGAAAGAAGCAGGCTGAACATCATACGATAGGGAGTGGTAGGGCGTGTGGCACACAGAAGCGGGTGTGCTCTGCTTGGATTTGTTCTGCATCATGATCATTACTAACACTGGAGGGGCACCCTGTAGCTCCAGGTTGCTCATGTAACTGCTACCCATCCATGAATTAATTGACTGCTCCCAGCTACATTATGAGGTAGAGACAGCCAGCACCCTCACCTTACAGATGAGAGATTCCATGCAGAGAAGTGAAGTAACTAGCTAGTACGTGCTGGAGTGAGGATCTGAACCTAGCACCCAAGTCTGGGCTCAGAACCAGTATGTAGCCCAGGTAAAGATACTGAATTTAAAAATTTCTGGAAACACCATGAAAGCAAAACCAGCCATATCTGTAGGTGACCTTAAAGTGTGAGTTTCCACTCTGAGACCTATCAGTACACTCATTTATCAGGCAAAGAAGCTGCAGCCTCAACAACAAATATTGCTAACATATTGGTTAGTGACAGATCTGGGAGAGAACTCAGGATCAATCCCCCCCAGTGCATTTCTCCACATGCTACCCTGCCACTATCAGTCCCCTCTGGACAGAGATGGATGCATTTCAGAGCACAGTCAGCTTACCCTTGCCCAGTCCTGAGATGGCGTCAGTGATCACCACCACTTTGTTCTGCACGGCCGACTTTGACCACAGCCTGGACACCTCCTGATAGATGAAGAGGAGGCCGCTGATTCCCAGCAGCAGCAGGGGCAGCATCAGCACAACCATGACTCCCATCTTGTTCTGAGGGACAACACATTGAAAGGATTGGTTTTACAGAGACCCTGATGGTGATGCCTAGGGCAGGGGCAGACTTGAGGCTGCAGGGTTCATTCACTCCAGGTATGGAGCCTCTCTCTTCTCATGGAGCTTATCTCTGCTCCTAGGGCGGCTGCTTTGGAGCCGAACAACCAGCAGGCATGCTAATCCCCCAAAGTTCAACAAATAGGAAATTACTCACGTTGTCTCCAAAGCAGACCAAATGCAGGGGGCCTGCCCTCCCCTGAGGTTAATTACAAATTTAATTAAAATAGGCCTGCATTTTTGGAAGGAAATCCATGTGTTAAGGCCACTTGCTCAGGCCCTAATGGTTATTTATAGCTCTCAGCTGCACTGAAGAGCTTTTCAGGGTAAATATAGTCTCTTCTGATATTCAGGGACACATGCTGGCTGGGTCTGATTTCAGGGTTCTCGCCAGGACTTTTAAAGCCTCCCTGGCTTGCTGGGCAATGAGAGGTTTCCCGTATAGTCTGGGGTTGAGCATTTAGGGATCAGAGCCTGGGATTTTCAACACAGACATCCTTATCTTTATTTTCTGTATCAGGTAGCTTCCAGGTAGCTCAGACCCGTGTGCAGTGGTCTATCGGGCCTGCCCTCCTGGCTGGGGATGAGAGGCATACGAAGGAAAATTGTTGCACAGAATGGAAGCTTTTGCAGAATGAGCCACTTGGAGATGTGACATGAACTCTCAGAAGGAACACAGTTTTAGGAGTGTTTCTTACTGCTATGAGTCTTAGCTGCCTCATCTGTAATGTGGGCAAGACTGTCTTGTCTGCAGGACTGTTGAAAATATTAAAATATTACATATTGTGAACCTAGTATAAAAACCTGGCCCACAAGAAGGTAGTCATTGTCATTATGATTACAAATACTAAAAATTTATCCCAAATATTAACTATTTTAGTTACCAAAGGTGACTCAGTCCAATTAGAAATGGAGAGACATCCAGTGAAAGTATTCAGATATCAAAATCCAGAAGACTCCTTATATCAGAGTCCTAAGTTGGATGATTAACACCTTGGGCTGACCAGGAAGTAGGGCAAAGAGCCATGTACCAGGGCAGGAATGCAGGAAGCTGGATTTCTCTCTTGCAAATTAGGAGCAAACAAGAATATTTTAAAAACCCCACAACCTTTTACAGGCATTTACTATATGTGTTGGAAATATGCATCACCATGAGTGCACAGTCTGTGAGCCTTCCTAAGCTACGCATGTACATGGGACCAGCACCTGGAACCAGAATTGAGGACTGCCCAGGTGACTCTATCATGTCTCTTTCCAGGCCTGAAAGGGAGACTACTTTCCAACTTTTAAAAGATTATTACTTTTGTCTTTGTGTGTATTTTCCTTCTTAGTGTATTTAGTACAAGGTCTATAGATCTACTGGGTCTCATCACACAGACTGGACTCATAGTGATCCTCCTGTTTTCAGCCTCCCAAGTGCTGGGATTACAGGCATGTGCCACCATACCAGTCTCAATTGCCATCTCAGCACACCCAGGGGGGCAGGGCTGGCCCAGCATGCTGGGGATCCAACCGTGTCCCTGATCTGGCTGGCCCTGTATTTTCTTTTTTAACTTCATTTAAACGGATTCACAAATTACCACTTTTTTTTTTTTTTTTGCTCAACATTGCATTTGTGACAGTCACCTCTATTATGTGTGAAGTTAGAGATCATGTATTTTTATTATGTAAATTTATCTCACATTTTTAGCTTACTGTTCCTAGAGTGGGTATAAGCAAAGGGTTCAAGGCAGAGTGAGCTTGGTGTTCCCCAGAAGCAGCAAAGGGACCAGTCCACCACAGCAGAGCGATGAGGTTCAGAGCGGACAGCAGGTGAGGTGAGAAAGGTAGTAGAGCAACAACCAGGTGCTGTCTTGCAGGACAGGGTTACACTATTCCAAATGAGATAGCAACCACTGTAGGATTCAGAAAAGAGAAAAGACATGATTTGACTTTCATTTACTGGAAATAGGCTGTAAGGGGATAAGGACAAGAAGAAGAGAGCCCAGGTGGAAACTTTTGCCAAAGTTGCCACCGTTTGGGGTGGCAGCAGTCAAGGTGGGTGGATGAGTCTGGATTCGGGCATATTTTGATGGCAAAACAGATGAGGAATTTGCTGATGGATTGGGTGGAAGTAGTAAAGGAAAGATAAAGATAATTCCAAGATTTTGACTTCAACAAATAGTAGGATAAAGACCCTCCCCGAAACTCTTTTTTAAGGTACCAAAGGCTGCAGCAGGCAAAGACTGGGGGTGGGGGTGGTGAATTAGAAGTTCAATTTCATCAGTGGTAATTTTATTTTTTAATTATTTTTATTTTATTGAGAAACAAATATCAATGAGGCAGTTTCAAATCTGATTAATAGGACAGTTTCAATAATTAATACATTGCACATGGTTATCTTCTTAGTGGTTATTCATAGTACAAGAAGCAGACAGGATATCCTGTCCAAATACTATTACTACAAATCTTTCTTCTCATTGAATTAAGTGAAAGTAGCTGTATATCTATCCTAACTATTCTGTATATACAAATAAAAAATGGTCCTTCCTTTGTATCCCCTTTTTTTGTTTAGTCCTGTCAGAGGTGGGTATTCTATTGGCATCTAAATGCCATAGGTGCTTGAATTCAGCAAAACAGTCCAACACAGTCCAGCAGTCCACAATAGTAGTGGATTATCCACAGAAGTTGTTGACTAGAGCCTTTTACAGCTCATCGTATTAATTGGTCTTTACTTTATATACCTCGTTTTTATACTTTTCTGCTGGATGGTTAAGACCAAGATAAAGCAAGACCTATATAACAAGAAATGTAACTTTTGTATCTGATAAGGTCAGTCAAGTACCCTCAGGATTTATCCTGTAACTCTGTACTGCATTTTGTAGATCCTTTGTCAGTGTCAGCCATGTGAATGAGTCATGGCCATTGCTTGACCAATTTGCTCTCTGTGAAAGCCTGAGAGAAAGTTTTCTCTCCATGTGACTCTCCTTAGGCACACTCTACATCATTGATCACTTTCCTCTGTGGCTCCATAATCTCCTTGATCAGAAAATTTGGGGCACAGTCACCAGTGGTAATTTTGAAATACCTGCAAAATGTGAGTGGAGGGGTTGAGCAGACTGTTGGGTCTCTGAGTCTGGAGAATGTTTTAGGGAAACATCCAAAGCTAATGATACACATTTGGGAATGATCACAGGTAGGTGACATTAAAGCGGTGCGCACTGGGTGAGGCCTTGTAAAGGAACTGCAGACAGGGAAATATTTGAGGGCTTCACTGCAAGACATGCCAAGAGTTAGAGACTGCAAAGGAGTGGCCAGTGCGGTGAGGAAGATAAAGAAGTCAATATGCAGGAGCCAAATGAAGAGTGTTTTAAGGAGGGTGATGCACTAAGTTAAATAAGAGGCCATATTTTGAGCTCTGAGTTACAGACCAAAACTAATTTAGGTTTTGTGATAAATAGCTGAGTTTCAGCTAATCCCAAACAGGCATGCTGCAGCCAATTTCTGGCAGCCAACTGATTAGGCCACGCCCACAACAGGCACGGGCGTTAGCCAATCAGCTGGTTTCTCTATGTGCCTTCTCTTGGTCGCCTATAAAAGCTTGCTGCTGGTGCCGCTGGGTGGAGCTCTGTGAGGCCTGCGGATGTATGAATTATTCTTGCTCACATAAACTTAAAATGTCAAAAGTTGTTCTCTTAATAAATGATTATTGCCGAGTTTTTCTTCTTTTGGTCTACATTTGTGATACATAATAAATATATTTTTGGTGGGGAATTGGCACAGGAAGCTGTGCCATCCTAATCCTCATTTTCCCTTTGCCTCACCTCCCTCCAGTCTTCCTCCGGCCCTGGTGCTTGACGTTGCTGATTGATCAAGTGAAGATAAAATCTGGAATGTAAGCGCTGGCTTTAACAGCGTGGAATCTTTTTGTGATTCTGGCAAGAGCTTGGTAAGTGCACGTGCCCTTTGCGTTTTCAGCCCTGTTGCAGGTGTGGTTAGTGGTTCATTAAAGAAGCAGCGCTACCAGGTGGTGCTGGACCTAAATGACTGAGAACGGCGGTGGGAGAACCAATGTAGACTAGGGGAAATAATACAGGAAGAAGGTGGGGGGGCTGGTCTCATTCCTTCTCTGGCGCCTCTTTAATTCCTTAATTCCACCTCTAGAAGCTTTAGCACCCACAATCCATAGAGCTGTAAACCAGAAGAGCGTGTTCCCTCAGTGTCTGACTTCTAACATTTGAAGGAGTCCTTTTTCCTTCCCCATCAAACACCTCAGCCTCACATCAGGAGGGATGATGGAGGAGAGAGTGGCCTGGCATCCCGTGTCCTCCAGGAAGGCGGCATGTGGGGTGGGGCGGGGACAGCCCTGAGTGTCAGTGCGGCGCTGCCTTGTGTGGTCTGAGGTGCACGCTTGAATCTTCTGAATGTCCTGGTCAGTAGCGTCTCACTAGGACACGGCAACATTCCTACAGGCTGAGCATCCGTAAACTGACAATCTGAAGTCTAGAATGCTTCAAACCCCAAAACTTTTTGAGGGCTGATGTGAGGCCACAAGGGGAAAGTTCTGCACCATCAAGCTTTGTTGCATGTATGAAATTATCTAAAAATGTATAAAATTACCTTCAGGCTACAGGTACAAGTGTATATGTGAAATATCAATGGACCTTCTGTTTAGACTTGAGTTCCATCCTCAGGATATTTCACTATATATATAAAAAAATTCAAAAGAGAGAGAGAGAGAGAGAGAGAGAGAGAGAGAGCCCACACCCCAAAATCTGACATACTCCTTGTCTCCAGCAGATAAGGGATGCCTGAGGGATTGCCACATCACTGTGTAGACCTGGAGCGATGATGTGCGTAGAGGGGAGCGGTGATGTGTCTACAGCACCTTGAAAAGGCTGGGCCCATCTCTGGACAGGATGCTTTCAGCCTCTCCCTTCTTCCTGTATTTTCCCCCCAGTCTGTGTTGGTTCTCCCACTGCCATTCTCAGTGCACGAAGGACCCACTCTTGAGGACCCTGGACAGAGAGAGCAGACGGACTGGTCAAGGGTCAAGGGTTTAGGAGGTGGTTCTCCAGAATACAGAATTCAGTGCTTCTGTGCCAGGTCTTGAAGACACAGTGATATCGCCGGTGGTCGAAGGCAAAGGATGCTGGAGTTAAAAGAGGCAGTGCACACCTTTCCCTAAATAGTAGATTATTGGGCCAATGTCATCTTTGCCTCCTCCTTCCCCAGGCATATTTTCCAGGCTGAAATCTGGGTCTGGCTAGCTTTCTATCTTCCTTCTGACCAGAACTAGCTCTTCTCTGGCTGCACAACTCTGCTTCCATTCTTGTCTCTTCCACAGGGTGAGTGAGCCCTGTCCACGGATCCTTCATGCACAGAGGGCAGGGCTGGTATGGGGGGAAGTAAGGAAGAGATGGGATGGTGGATTGTTGGACTAGCCTGACATCTTGCAAAATGAATTGTCTAAGATATTATTGAGGCTTTAGAAAGGACATTCTGACACAGTCTCCAGCACTGATATACCTCAAGTACGGTCTGCTATGTGAAAGAAGCCAACCCCAAGAAAGACACATATTGTACGATTCCACTCTGTGAGAGACCTGGAGTGATGAAATTCATAGGGACAGAAAGGGCAGTGGGGGCGGCCAGAACTAGGATGGTGAGAGAAAGGGGAGTTAGTGTCTCCGGGGTACAGAGTTCCAGTTGGGAACAATGGGAGAGTCTGGAGATGGACCCGAGGGATAGTTATAAGCCAGTGTGGATATTCTTAATGCCACTGAACCGGACACCTGAAGCGGTTGTGATGGTGAATTTCATGGTAGGTATATTTTACCATAATTTTAAAAAGTGAAAACAAAGTGGTCTGATCTCCTTTGAGAGATAATCCCAGTATAAGACACTGCCGTTTGCTTGTCATTTAAAGCCATAAACACATCTGCATGTACCAGATGTGCACCTCTGTGGGAACTGCTCATCTGATTCTCAGGTGGTAGTTAGTTCTTGGCAGAATGTGGGGACCTCGGGACGGGAAGAGGGGTGTGAGTCTCGAGTTGTAGGTCTGTGACACAATTTTATACATATTGAGATAGTTTGTAAGAGAATATATAAAATAAGCAGTGATAAAAATGGATACCCAATGGATTTTGTCTAACATTTGTGCCTTGTCTGGCCTTCCAAATTCTCTTATCTTCAAATTCACATCCATTTCATTTCTTCCACATTTTCATGGTGCAGAAGATGTCTTTCTCCTGCTTCATGTAACAGTTTTTTAAAAAGTCTAGTTCTTCACAGCTCCCCTTAATGTTCTGTTTTTTTTTGGGGGGGGGCAAGGTACTGTCAATCAGCCACCTAAGAGGCTGAAGTGTCTTTTAATCTTCAGAAAATTGGGCTTTCCCCTTTCTCCCCAATACCTGCTCTGCACTGGTGTTTCTATAGTTGGCTTGTTGAGGACAGGATAGATTCCCGGACATGCTGTGTCTCCCACACAGGGCTTTATGTGCATGTATTCTTTGTAGGTGTTTAGTGACTCAATATGTTTACATGAGCAAATCTAATTCTAGTCTCCTTAACTAGACCTACTGACCTTTTCTGACCTCTAAAGGCAGCCGTCTAGGCCCAGAATACCCAGCTACAGTTCCTGAGGGAGCTAACGTACTAGCAGCTACCATCATCTCTGTAAAAACAAGGGCAATGCTGAGTCGGGTGAATCCAGGACCAAATTCCTCAACTCTGAAATAGAGCTGACTTGTTCAGAACAAGCGACCTCTCGGCGCTGCTTGGCTCCTGGTGTGATTCGTAAGGAAGGGGTAGACACAGATCTGTTCTTCTGCAACTGACCCAACAGGCACTCTTCTAATACTGTGCTAGGAAAGAAATTCTAAGTTATTTCACCCAGGAGAAATGGCATGGTGCCCGGAATAGTATAGACACATGGTAAGAAGCACTCATCGGTTAACCAAGGCCTGGAAGCTTCCAGGATGAAAATGCTTGGTGGTTTGGCTTATTTGATCCTGGGATGCAGGCACTGAGCTTGCCACTACTGTTTCCCCAACTTAGCAGCCTCGTTCAGCCCCCCGCTGTTTTCTGATATGACTGAACCAGGGATTTAACTTGATGGGTAGCAGCAATTCATCCTTTCACTGAGCTCCTTTATACCAAGCATCCTTCTAAGATATTTAGCCTCACTAATGCACTTTTTCTTTAAAATAGGATTATTGTTCCCATATACAGATAAGAAAACTGAGGCCTAGAGAGAAAAAGTGACTTTCCCAAGGTGAAAATGGGAAGCCAGGATTTGTAGGTAGTTTTCTGGTCCTAAAGTATAAAGTTCTAACAGAGAAATACATAATCTCTAAGAGAGAACAGATAGAGATTATTTCAGTACAGCAAAGAATGGAAATCCTGTTGTCTCCCAGCAAAGATGGATGAAAATGAGGCGCTTTCGTTCTGCTTCTTGATCCACAGCACTGGTCACGTGTGCGTGTTCGTGTTCTGGAGACTGTTCATGCTGCTCTTCCCAAGATTTCTGTGCTTTTCTCTTTGGAAGTTATGCTACAATACAACTGATATTTCAAGCATTTAAAAGCATAAAAAGTTAAATGGAAGCACAGTGCCATGGAAGCTCAGAGGACGCAGTGCAAGGTGAATTGTGACTCAAGCCTGAGTACTCCGTGGCCTTCCCTCCTGCCCTAAATGGACCACTGGCTCCTTTCTCTGCCTGGTGTCCCCAGATCTGCACCTTCTCTGGTTCAAATCTAGAAAACTCATTTCTTTTGCGGCATCTTCAGCAGCAGGTATGTCTCTCCCCACCCAAGAGAGAATTCAGTCTTTCTTTGGGAATATTTTCAGTAGATTTCCTTTCCTCTGGTCAGATTTTTTTTTTTTTTTTTAGACAGGATCTTGCTACGTAGCCCAGGCAGGGCTTAAACTTACTTTGTAGCCGAGGCTGGCCTCAAACACATAGCAATTCACCTCCTCAGCCTCCACGATACAGGTGTGGGCTGCCAAGCCTGGCTCTAGAATCAGATTTGATCCGATACTGTGACAATCAGGTAGGAATTTCACCCACACAGGATGAAGAGTGCATAAAATGTCCTGTATTCACCCTTCATCCTGTGTTCACCCACACAGGATGAAGAGCGCATAAATGTCCTGCAAAGGGTGGAGTCTGTTGGGTATAAACCCTTCTGGGTGAGCACATGGTGAAGGCAACCCCAAGGCTATTTCAGCGACAATCCATGTTATATCTCTTGAAATATACTTGGTACAGCAAAGCACACAATTCCATGGGGCCAGCAGTTGTTAGACAGGTGCGTAACTTAAAATCCAAACATGAGGGAGTAAACTGGGTTTTTTTTCCTTTGTTCTAGAACAACATAATTTTTATGGTTCAGCACAAACAGATTGAGTATTTTATTTGGAAACAGTCACCTTTGTTCAGAAGAGACGTGTTTACTAAACACAGAAATACAACTTTAAAACTTAGTCTGAGCTGAGACATATTTAAGGTTGCTAGACTCTGGCAGCCCAATTCCTCACCACCTCCCCCTGCAAAAGACAATCAAAACCAGAAAAACCTCTCCAATTTTTTAATGTGTCTAACAATCTGTGGTCTCAATCACACATTAACTTAAAATACAAGATGAAATGACACAGTATTGCAGTTGAACATACTAGGAAATCCACTGCGCAGATAAAACTTGCATGCTCAGCAATGTTTATTTTTAGAACCTAAAGTGCCTGGCAATTAAGAGGCAAAATTCAAGCTTTTGTTCCATTTAACTGTGATAAAATGCCCTTTTCTTTGATTTATGTTTCTGGTTTTTCTATCCTTTGACTACCCTTCCAAATTGATTCCACATAGACAGAATTTATGAAATGCCAAAGGGGGGAACATTTTTTTTAAAAGCATGTATTTAGCACAGGGTCTATAGGATCTCACTACACAGATTGGATTCATAGTGATCCTCCTGTTTTTAGCTTCCCAAGTGCTGGGATTACCGGTGCACACCACCACGCCCAGTCTCAATCGATGTCTCAGCGCACCCCGGGGGTACAGCACTCCAGGTCTCTGACCCTGGTCCGTTGAGCTTGCCTAAACAGGCGCTTTCTAGTCCACTGAGCTATCCAGCTGGCCCAGAAAAGTATTTTTAAATAACATAACATGTAACAGCCTCTAATTTTCTTAATGAAAATGAAAAGAGAGCATAAGATTATCACACATGCCTTAGTTTGTATTGATTAGGAAGAAAGTTCTGGGCTTTTTTTGGTGGGCAATACAATTTGCATTTATTAGAAAGGCTTCCTGTTGCCTTTCTTCATCTTTTCTTCTCTTTAGTAGTTGACACGTTCCCTCTTCTATTAGTACATTTCTGAACTGTCAGCAAGCTTACCGAGCTCCTTCATGCTAGAGTGTCAATGTTTGAAATCTGTACAAGTAATCTTACTTAAAGATATTGGTTTACAGGAATGAGAGGCTGAGCCAGAGATGTGTAGTAAGGGCTGGGATGCAGAGTGGAAGGTTTACTCGACCACAGCTGTCACAGCCCACCCCAGGAGTGCTCCTTGTGGGTACAAGTGTGTGGTTTAGCTGCATGTGCAGGCTTGACAGTCATAGTCTACTGGCTAGCACATGGACACCTTGCCTGGGACACTTGGCAGCAGGTGGCCTGAAACCTTCACAACAGCATATCCAGCAGGGCTGGGAGTGGCTCCCGGGGCCCAAACCCTCTGCGAAGCCGGAGGTGCTTGGAGGTTACGTGGAGGCTGCTGTCGACTCTTCTGTGCCTTGTGCTGTGTTCTGCATTCCAGGCGGGTGGCTGAGTACCCACTTATGACAGTGACAGACACAGCCATGCAGAGGGCAAAAGAAGCCCAAGCGAGGCTGCCAACAAAATGCACAATGAGGAAGGAGCCCAGGCTGTGCTGCTGGGGCTTCCTGAGGGGGTTGGGGGTCGGGAGCCAGGGGACCATCTCCAGATTTTACCCAATTTCAATCTTCAGGTTCTACCTGATGTTCAATCACAAATCTCAGGGCCTGGTCAGTTTGTTTTCCACATCAGTGGATAGGAGGACAGATTCTGGCATCCTTCTGCTGGGTTTGCACCAGAGCCCACCCCTTATTGTCTCTGTGACCTTGAGGTGTTAGTTTACCCGTTTGAACCAGGTTCCTCATTTGTAAAATCAGGATAACATCAACTCTGTTACCCAGGTTTCAATCAGAGAATTCAAGGAGCCAGTGGGTGGGGGGCATTTGGTATGGGATTGGCTACAGGTAAATGTTACTTAGCGTCCTTAGCTCTGTGCCAGGACACTGGTATTAATCAGTGAAGTTCGTATATCCCCCTCTAAGCGGGAAGCCTGTTGCCTTCTGAGATCATGGTCTGTTCTCTCCCTGCTACATGGAACCCAGTGCTGGATTGATGTAGTAATTAGCATCTGCTTGATACCAAAGAGTGTTTGCATGTTTGATTATTATGGGATAGAAAGGAGGCTGAACAAGAAGCCAATTTAGAGAAGATGACCCCTATGTAGAACTAAACAAATATACTTCAGGATGGAAAATAATTAAACCAGGCATGGTGATGCATGTTTGTAATCCCAGCACTCAGGAAGCTGAGGCAGGAGGATTGCTGGGAGTTTGAGGACAGCCTGGGTCACATGGTGAGGCCAGCCTAAGACATATAGTGAAATGCTGTCTCAAAAGACAAAACAAAAATTAATATTGTTGCATGCCAATTGTTGCTATGGTGAATACTGGATTGTCTAAAGCAACATTAAAGCCATTCCTTGCCTGAGGCACTAACATGACCCTCATTTTACAGATGACGAAAGAGCCAACTTGTGCACAATCACCAGTTAGATTTGGCTCCAGAGTTCATAACCCCAGAAACAGCTGGTTCCCTCTCTGGGCTCTGCTGCACCCTGGAACTGTGCGTTTGGGTAACCAGAAAGAGCCCTTGGAGGTCTGGTGGGGCCTGGGTTTGTTCAGTGTTTTCATTTTTCTGATTTGAACTTGGGTGGAAGTTGGAGAATGGTTGAAGATAAACTTTGATGGTAGGAAAATATCATTTGGAGAAGAAAACCCAGCTGATCACAGGGGATGCTGAATTCTGTGTTTTAGATAAGACTTAGGATCAGAGAAGAGCATTTCAGTAGGTGTCCCATGATCCCACCAGGCAAATTGCTGCTGAACGCCCCCAACCCCACATGATAAAATGTTTCATAGCATGCAACCACATCTAGGTTTAAGGAAAGATTGACTTCAAGGACCATTCCTGCTTTTTGTGTCTCAAGGAAATGGAAACTTGGCACACTAGCATGAACATACAGAGGCCAAGAAAGTTGGAGAAGAGATGTGAGAGGCTGGGAGGCAGCGGGGAGTGGGGTGACTAATTCACAGAAGAGGGTACACATAAGACAACTACAGAACAGACCTCTCACAAGACTGGAGGACGTCTTTTCGATTGGCCCTACTGAGTCCTTCAGAGGCAAAGCACTTTAAAGCACAAAAGAAACAAACAAACAAAACAAAACAGCATTGTTTGGGGGTTGGCTAAGCACTGGCTGAGTGTGAATGGATGGCAGGTCCCTTGGTGTCTTCCACCTTCCCTTTCTCCTAAAATAGCAAAGGTCTGTTTGTTGGAGAAAGTGTGCAGGAGCAAGCCCTCTAAATTCAGAGACAACAGGCCCAGTGGAAAGCAAGGGGAAAATCTGGTCTGAAAACAGAAAGTTCGTGAAAATTGCATTCGGAATGGGATGCTTCCCAGCTCCTGTCTTGTGGTTAACCTCAGAAATCACTGGCCTGGCATACAAGCTTATCCCACTTCCTGTAAATCTGGGAGACACTGAGTGGTTGTAGAGAACCTTCACAAACTGACGTGTGTGTGTGTGTGTGTGTGTGTGTGTGTGTGTTTATGGGGTGGAATTCCCAAATAAAACAGCTGGCTCTATACCTAATTGCATTCCAGAAGAGCCTATCCGTAGGAAAATTCCAACTTCACTCAAAAATTTCCAGTTATCTTTAAATGTGACTTGACAATTACGGACACCTATATCTGGAGAACTGGCCCACAACATACAGAAAAGAAAAATAAAATTTTTCCAGACGTGGTGGAGCATTGCCTGTAGTCCCAGCACTTGGAGAAGTTGAGGCAGAAGGACTGCTAGGAGTTTGAGGTCAGCCTGGGCTACATAGCAAGATCCTGTCTTAGAAAATAAATAAATAATAACAATTTTAAATGCAAAAGATAACAGGAGAAATTAGAACAGCAGCAACAGCAACAAAAACTCTTTAGGCAATATCTTTGGAAACATGAAGTTGTTTTATCCACAAAACAAGATCAGGAACACTGTAAACAACAACTAAAACAGGAAAGAGCTTTTGGGATTTAAAATAAGATCCTAAATAATTCACCTGAAAGGTTAGAAGACAAGCAGAGGGAAATTTTTCAGACAGTATAATAAAGGATAAAGAGATACAATATATAAGGAAAGCAATAAGATATTGCAAAAATTAACTAAAGAGACCCAATATCTCATTAGCAAGAATTCTCTAAAAAGAGAATAGAACATGAAGGAGAGGAAATAATAAAAAAAAAAACAAGAAAAATAACCAGAATTCTAGGATATGAATATTCAAAAGGGTCCACAACACACAGGAAAGAAGAATAAACATAATGGGGGAAAATCCCTACCACAGAACATCATCCTGACAGTTCAGAAGGAAAGAACAAACTACCTACAAAGACACATCATCAGAATGATATTGGACTTTTGGCAATAACAATAAATGCTGGAGGAAAACAGGGCAGGATCTTCAATTTCTTTTGTGTGTGTGTGGTACTGGGGCTTTTGCACTGAGATTTAGCCTTAGCTCTATGATTTCTTTGGTTTGTTTTGAGACAGGATCTTACTAAGTTGCTAAGTTGTTGAGACTAGGCTTCAGTGTAGTACAGGCTGGTCTCGAACTGGCTATGTAGTCCAAGTGGGCCTCAAGCTTTTGGTGATCCTTCTACTTCAGCTTCCCCAGGGCTGGGATTACAAGTGTGTGCCACCATGCTGGGCTCAGATTTCTTTCTTTCTTTCTTTCTTTCTTTCTTTCTTTCTTTCTTTCTTTCTTTCTTTCTTTCTTTCTTTCTTTCTTTCTTCTTTCTTTCTTTCTTT